CCCGGTCCATTGCCCGTCTTGCGCATTTTCAATAAGGACGGACACCGAAATGGCGACGAGGGAACTTTGTGCGAGCGGGGGTTCGTCGGCCTGATGAGAGCGTAGCGCGACGACAATGGGAGCCGCCCGCGAATCCGCACGACGAAGAAAGAAGGGTCCTCCTGAGGGTGTGTCCTCTCCGACCGGCGACACGTAGATCAGGTAAAATCATAAGCGGCTGTGTGATACCGACACGCCGCCGGTGTGCCGGTTGAGAGGTATTATACATACAGCGGCAGGTTGAGAGACAGGTAGAGAAGGGGGGGGAGGGGGATTTGCAACGGTGACACAATCGAGCGCGCACCGTTATACCGTCGAGTCACCCCTGGCGACAGAGATCGGTACCTGCGGTGCGCCGTTGAGAGGTAGAAGAGACGATGCTCGTCGAAAGCCGTGGACGAGCGAGAATTCCGCCGGGTATTATCCTAGCCGGTTATTAACGAGCTATCCGAGAGCTATCGACAACACCGAAAAGTTATTTCGGGCGCTTTCGATCGAGCACAAGTCGGTGGCCGCGACCCTTTTGTCCGGGGGGGGGGAGGGCACGAAATTGTTGTCCCGAGACGTATTTTTTTTTCTTCGATAGACGACGATACACGATCTGTGGATACGAAGATGAGAAATTGACGCTTGGAAATTCTTCTATGCAATTCGTCGACACAAGTTGTATGTCGCGATATGCACACCGAGAGAAGAAATGTCTCGAAAAAACGGACGAATATTTCTCCGGTGGGTCCTTGCACGATGTTTGCTCAAGTCTGAATTCACTTTGTTCAAATCGAGTATCGTTTACTTAAAACGAGTAAATAATACTCGTTTTAAGTAAAGAGAAGTTAGATTTAAATAAATATCGCGTAAGGACCTGCCAAAAAATATTAATTGTTCTTAGGTATTTCTTTTCTCAGCGTCTTGGCAACGTTTGAAGCGCGACTGGGTAGAATTAGGATTAATCTTTTTTTTTTCCTTAAAAAGAAAGAGGCAAATAAGAGGCGGAAGTAAAAGTCAATGAAGGGATAAGAAATAACGTTAATGTTGAGACGGACGTTAACAAGCTAGGAAAACAACACGAGTCCGCGAACGTTTCGGTCCTTCTTATCTGGACACACTCCTGCGCTAATTGCAGAATTAAATAAAGCTGTGCGGAATATAAACATCAACGTACGCATTAATGAGAGAACGATTGGCGATGTCTTCACATCATATCAAAAGTTGAGTTCTGCCGTTTGAAAATGATGCCTGTTGTCCTATGAAGAAAATCTCTCTTTCCCTTCAATCGCTAAAGCATATGGTCTTTCCCGGAAGACGAAGAACAATTTTTCACGGCAATAAACCTTTCCAAGAGATGAATTTCGCAAGGAATTTCGGAAAAACTTGTTCAAGAAAGCTCTCGAAATGAACACTAAAGGCAGCATCGAGCGCGCGGCGTTGGACGAGTACGATTATTAGCGCGCGCGTATATTCGTATAATTAAAACTAATTATGACGTCGCGAGAAAAGTGGGTCGCCTCGATAAAAATACGCTGATTTAAAATGACAACGTCTTCTGCCCCGTGCTTCATTCCGCAACGTCACACGTCTCCTCCTTATTCTCGTGGCTGATGCGTTTAGAACGTTGAACGTCGAGCACTTTCCACGAAGAAGTCTTCATATATATTCGAAGGAATATCCGTGTGAGAACGTGATTATCGCGGCGTATAACGTCGAACAGTATCACGTAAGCGTAAATTGATCGGAGCCGGTCGTGCGCATCGCGATCTCCCTCGGAATTGCATTAAGATGTGAGAGATGATCTCTTTGAAAATTCAGTTATTAAGTAATTTAACCGTGACAAAATTACGCGCGCGCGCGCACGAATCTCTCGAGTCGCTCAACGCAAGTCAGACGTTTAACGTTAAATTAATACTCTAAAAAGAAGGCAAAATGGGGGAGGGGAAAGAAAGAGCTTCGGAAACTTGTAACCGTGTAAATAAATTATTTATCGATCTATTCCTCTTTATCTGTATCGATTTTTATCTGTCGAAATGCGTGACAACGATACCAGAGAGAGAGAGAGAGAGAGAGAGAGAGAGAGAGAGAGAGAGAGAGAGAGAGAGAGAGAGACTTTAGAATTCATACGACGGCGGGTATTTAGCGCGGTGAATGCGCGCCGAGGAAAGTGCGGGGCGAGTGCGCGCCACAATTCCGTGAATTAAACCGCAACTTGGTGGTAACCGACGCACGGGTAGTACACATAATGTTCGTTCGTTCTGCCGTCGCATATCGCGGCGCATCATATACGTTCCCGCAGTACAAAAGCCGGCGTAAGTTTTCGTATGGCCACCATTGCGCGAGCGCCTGTACATAAACACGGCGCGACTTCCGGGCGTGTACAATAGATAATGGTATCGCTGGAATGCGAGAGGTCCGTTAAAAAAAGGAAAAAAAAAAAGAAATTGCAGCACCGTTCATCCGCGACAGACGCGAACGTCGCCTCGTACATTCAATTATCGAGTGCAGGATTCCTCGTATTCCTTTATCCGCGCACACCGCGTATATATAAACATACAGCGTGTGACTCAGCTGGCTTTTTTCTCCGTATCGCGTTTATAGCTCATACGCGACGTTCAATACTTATCGTGAGGATGCTGGAATGCGTGCTTGCGAGCGAAAGGGGGAGGGGGAGCAGCTGGGAAGGGGAATTTCGAGTTTTTGAGAAACGAGCGAAGTAGCGGAAGTTGAAGACCGCGTTTAAACGCGGCCGACAGGCGTGCAGAGGCGACGTTGAATTTCTTAGAGAGGGCGAAGTTCCGCTACTGACGCACATCTTTTTTTGGATACCACGTATACATACATCCCCCCCCTCCGCAGTTTACGGGGGAATGAGAGCGCCTTAGCTTAGGGATGATATCGCGATAGGGAAAGTGACGTCGTGTCAGGCGCACCAAGTGACATTTATAGTGATTTGAGCGAAGCATCGATGAATTTCCAGGCTCATTACGGCGTGACATTGCCCTTTAGCGTTCCCATTACACACACACACACACACACCATATCACACGTAGCGTGCACCTCGTGTGTGTATGTGTATGCGCGCGAGCTCGCGTTATCTTACACGATGTCGCATAATCTCTCCGTGTCGGGACAAAGGAGGAAAATTCGATTTGAAGGGTAGAGCTGGTGTATGTAATATTCAGTGATACAACCGAGTTAATATATTATACATTACCGCTCGACACTGTTTTTTCGTCTCTCCGAAGTGAGTTTCATTAACCCTCTCTCTCTCGGCAAGTAAAGGCATAAATTTTTATAAGCTGGAAAAAAAAAATTAATAGATACTTTGTGACACAAATCAAGCGCGATTAAACATCGACGACGACACAACAACTACGACAACGATGATGACGACGGCTCGATGCTCGTAATTACAAATCGCACGTGCGACCATTCATCACCGGTCTCGACAGTACTGGGTGGCTGAAAACGAAAGCGACGTCCCGCCGACGATAATAGTCATTACTCGAAGGGGGGGAGGGGGAGGGGAGCTCTTCGAGTACGCGGCTGCATGCGAGGTGGTCGCAAATTATTCACTCGTTTCGTCTTATTCGTGCGGCGAACACGCGCATTCTCGTACCGCGCGCGCGCGCGCGTGCACGCACACTCGGTGACAGATATAATATAAACGCGTCGAGCCCTTTAAGGGTCCACCACCGGAGAGCGCACGACGAGAGTCGCAATCGAGTTACACGCGAGAGTCCCTTCCATAAACAGATTGACCGACGCCCAGGAGCGACACACGGTTTGCACCGTGTCGTGACGTCATATTTTGTAGCGAGAGAACGCGCGCGAGCACGCTACGAAATACCCGCCGAGCGTGCACATCGAGCCGTGTCGCGTGTTGCACACACGCGGCTTGTATGCGTTTTGCACGTGAGCATACCGGGTAGCCCGCTAAAACGCGCCTTGACAATCGATTCTCGAGGGAACGAGGCGTTCGTGCGGATAAATAATAAAAAAAAAAAATGATAAAACGGGAGCCGGCTTTAATTTCGCTAAGGCTCTCTTTCTTTCTTTCTTTCTTTCTTTCTCTCTCTCTCTCTCTCTCTCTCTTTGTGTTGGTAAAAATATCAGCAAACTCGACACGGATTCGATTTCAATTCGACGCTTTAGTCATTAACACTTTACCGACCGGCCGTCGATTAATCGACGTTTTGTTCTCAGCGCTTATCGACCGGCCGTCGATTATTCGACTTTTATTCCACAGCGCTTAACGACCGGTCGTCGATTAATCGACTTTTGTTTTTTCCGTTAGATTTGGTTAAGTTAGACTGACAAGTAGCAAGCAGCAAGCATTTCGAATTCTGTATTCAGATAATCGTTGCTTTTCTTTAAAATTTAGCCCTTAAAGATGAATGAAAAGGATAGTGTTGGTGAGTTTTATCTCGACGACCTGTCAGATTGTCTTCACTGCTGTTCAGCAAGTAGTACTGATGACGAAAGTGATAGCAGTAGTATAACGATTCGAAAGCGACGTTCTGTATCACTAATATACAGTGATTCAGAAGACGAGGGCATAAATAATAACGTTAAAGACAGCTGTGGTACATGGTCAACGAACGACAAGAATATAATTTTGGAACCTTTCGAAGGCAGCCCCGGCGTAAAAATTATACCAAGTTCCTCTGAAAGCGTAATAGATATTGTGAATTTATTCATTGGAAGTGACCTGATTGAGCACTTCGTGAGGGAGTCTAATAGGTATCATGATCAAATTATGGAAAAATATAGAATTACACCAAAAACGAAAAAATGGACTGACATCACGGTGTCTGAAATGAAGGAATTTTTGGGCCTGATCGTTCTTATGGGACAAGTAAAGAAGGACGTTCTCTACGATTATTGGTCCACAGACCCAACTATAGAAACGCCATTCTTCTCGAAAGTTATGAGCAGAAACAGATTTTTACAAATAATGCAAAGCTGGCATTTTTGTAACAATAAACTTTTTTAATTTTAAATCTTTTTTCGACAAATATTGTCATATGGATTATGGTATATTTTATGTAAATATTATACTGAAAACGATTGTAATAGATAAAATAAATATTGTTTAACACTAATATCATTAAAGTAAAAAATTTTATTAAATTTGGTTACCCTATAATAACACGAAGCGTACAATTTTACCGGAGCATAAGAAAAGCGCATATATTCCCGCGCGGCAGTCTAAGCCGAAACCGAGCCGGTGTCTCGGATGATCTGCGGCTGAGTGGCCGGTGAGAAGGGCATAGGATGTTCGAACCGCTACTGGTCGGTAAAGTGTTAAGAGAACATCCAAAACAGGTGCCGTTGAATGCCTCTCTGTATTCTTACCAAATGATACTTCTTTTTAGAGAGAAACAATTTCGAGATTTATTTATCCGGGATTATGTCGTCAACAGGCGCACCTTCGCTAAAGAAGCGAGTGAATCAATGATAAAACGAGGGAACTCTTTTTCACGGTATTCTGCGTAAAAATCGTCGATATATCGTAAGACCGTTCCCGAGGACGAACAACAGCGAGGTGTCCTAATCTTCGTGGAACGATAAACCGCAGTTTATCGTGTTGCATAGAAGAGCACGTTACCCATCGTGTTCGCATGCATACACACAAGCGCGCCACGCACACGTATGTACGTACGTACGCAGCGGGAAACACGCGGGCGAAAGATCGCGCGTAACCGATTTCAAAACAACGAGAAACGTACACACACTGGATACGCGCGCAGTTTTTAGCGCAGGATAATAAAGCGCTATGAAGAAATAAAGTTCACACGCTTGCGCAATCGGTGGATGCACCGAAGAGTAACGCTCGCATCATTCGGTGCGAAAAGCGCGTGTGATGCGGCGGAAAAGTTTCTCCATCATCCGACGTTCTAAGAATACACGTGAATTTTTACGACATCGAAGTACGTCGTAAACACTGCACGATAAAAATGTGGAAAAAAGGAATATGCGAAAAGTTTAGTCCCCCCGCGTCCTTCGCCGCGTCTATACTTCGGTGTGATATCACTCGGTAATATAGAGGATATTTCTCTCTCTTGATATTATTATTACATATCATATTACGACACTTATCAATAAATTCATTCGCTACCGCGTGACTCAACGTTTGCAGAAAGAAAAGGATTTCTTCGTATTTGATAAAATTTCTGTGGTCGAAGCAAATGTCTTTTGGAGTAGAACAACCGAATGTTTGATTCAATAAGCGGGATTGTTTAGTTTCTCCAATAATAAATATCTTTACGTCGAATGACGCACCTCTTTTGCATCTTCATTCAAACATTGTAACGATCGTCACGGGCAATAAATTATACGAAAGGAGCAACACACTACGCTACAAAACAACTTCTATGTTTCAGCGGAGCAATATTTAATATATAATGAAATAATTCTGGAGTGGAGGCTTTCTTTTTTGTCGGAAACGAAATATTACTTTCTCTAAATACCACTGTTCTCTCCGTCAAACAACATGGTTTACTCCACGTGTGAAACAACAACATTTTTATCCAAACAAAATGTTGTTTGATATTTAGGTTGTTTGTGCCAAGCAAACCCAAGACAAACAAACGTGCGTACTAAATCGAAATGAACTCTTTTCTCTCCGTGTGGCAGCGTTAAACGCAAAGCCGTATAACTCGCAATTTTATTAATTAATAAATGCGAAATATACGAATTAAGCCGACTTCGCCGTTTAAGCGAGTGTCGATTGACATGTTCCATTCGTGAATCGCCGCCGCTTACTCGACTCTGCTTTCACGCGCTCTCGCCATGGACAGCCGCGCGCGAATTTACGCATTTGCTTGGACCCACGTGTGTCACGGCACGTACACACAAATCCGCGAACGCGGTATCGTACACGCAGCATCGCGACCAATGGACGAACGTGTACGACTCGCGCTGTATGCACTCGGTCGTGCGCACGTGCACGTGTCAATCGTAGCGGGGTGAAAGAAGCAGTTGGAAAGAAAGAGAAGGGGAGTGCGTGAGCCGCGTACACGTGTCAATATTTATCGCGATGGCATCGGAAGTCGCGAAGTTAGACGGCGAAACAGGAGCAGTGTCACGCACGGGCAAGGTCGCTCCTCCTCGCGAACGCCGAAAAGAGATCGCCGCGAGAGAAATTAAACGGCGAATCGAAGGAGAAAACATCATAAAAGACGAAACGGAAAAAAACGGAGAAAATAATAAATGCGCACACGTGCGACCCGATCGGACAATTTGCTCGCAGTCCGCTTTCCGACGGGCCTTTTGTACGTTTTAACGGCAAGATAAAATGGCATCTACATTTGCTCTTTGAAGAAAGAGAGAAGAGAAGAAGCGAATGCGTCCTATTCGCACATCGATCGCACGTCTGTGGATTGAAGGCATTTTTCCTTTTTTCGTTCGCATAATGCGAACGCGGAGCGGGGAATTCGGAAAACGAGTCGCGATTTTGGTTTCTCGCTTGTGACTCGTGCGAGGCAAATTCGAAGGTTAATTAATTGCGAAACGGAGAGCATGCGCGAGCGTATGCTGAATAAGTACAATCGAAAACGCAAGGCTCGCAAGCTTCACTTCTTTTTTTTCCTTTTTTATGTTTGCCCAAACGGTTTACCGTCACTCAATCGTTTTTTCATATTATTACCAATCGCTTGTATATACAGTTATATAAGACAAGTGTAACGGGGCAGTCCGATATTCTTTATCTCATCTCTTTATCGTTGGCGCATAAGCAATATTTTCATACATACATACATATACATTTAAATACCAAGTGAGAAATAAAATGAGAGCAGATAATAATACCCGGGCGTGCGAAGAATAACATTTAGAGAGACACGTGCAACACGACGAGTGAAAGGGAACGCNAAAAAAAAAAAAAAAAAAAAAAAAGAGTCGGGAATCGTTCGTGCGCAATTAATATATTTTCAACGAGCGTGCAAAAAAAAATGCGAACACCGCAGGCGGTGCACAAAATTTCCGATCTCTTCGCGCGATTATGCGAATCGCTCCTGGCAATTCTCTTCGCGATTACGAATCTCGTCGGGCACGTACATACGTGTGCGAGCGATAATTATTCCGACCGATTTACCGGATCAATCGATTCCGGAGATACTCGGGATCTCGGCAGGAGCCCGGAAGGGATGACACACGCACTCGGTACGTTTACCAGCCGCTGATAATAGTGCGCAACGCACCGATAACGATTATCGGCACGTGAACCTACGTAAACCGAGCTCCGTTCCGCATGGAAACGACCGCCCGCCGGCGGCGGCTCCGCGAGGAGCGACTAGGAGGACAGCGTTGGAGATTTTTCTTCTCTCTCTCTCTCTCTCTCTTTCCCTCTTACCTCCCTCTCCAACATAAATATAGTGTCAAAGTACATCCGGGCACGAAAAAAGGAGATATTTTAGATGGCGACCGAGCCACCGCGATAACGCAATAAATATAAAGCGCGCGCGCGAGCTTCAAGCCGGAGAGATCGTGCACAAAAGTGCACGAGATTCTCCTTTTATTTCGCCGATCTGTGCGCCACCAAAAGATCGCACCCGCTATTTCTTTTTTTTTTTTCGACCGATCATCGCGGACGTCTCCGACGTTACCCGCGCGCGAGTCGGTCTTCCGAAAATGCGAATACCACCGAGAAAAAGAGGTTCTCGGCTGGAGCGAGAGATTCGAGAATCTCTCCGCGATATTGATACAAGCTATCTCCTCGGTTTTCGCGTCTCTTTGTCTCGCGGGGAGACTCGCGCGCGGATTACCGAGATGTGTATTTCGAGTGATATCAACTCCCTCCTCCCCTCGCTCTCCTTTCTTTCGCGCGATGCCTCTCGGAGAATTCCAGATCGCGAGTGGAGCGCGAATTACACAACGAGGCTGCTCGGCTGTTTAAAAACCGGGACAGATAACGCAAGTTTGGTCGTAAATCTGTAATCGACGTACGTAACGTCGCTGATAAACCGTCCACACGTGAGCCACGCGTAAAGCGATCGCGCGCGCTCGTCTTCGCGCAGCTCCCCCCCCC